GCGCAGACACTGTCATTAACAGTCAGCAGCGCGCAGACACTGTCATTAACAGTCAGCAGCGCGCAGACACTGTCATTAACAGTCAGCAGCGCGCAGACACTGCCATTAACAGTCAGCAGCGTGCAGACACTGTCATTAACAGTCAGCAGCGCGCAGACACTGTCATTAACAGTCAGCAGCATGCAGACACTGTCATTAACAGTCAGCAGCGCGCAGACACTGTCATTAACAGTCAGCAGCGTGCAGACAGTTCTCATTGTGACACACAGAACCAGAGGAGATAACCGCCATCGAGGTTGAAATGCCGTTTCTGAGTCTGCTTATCAGCTGACCAGGCCTGTTAGATGATAAATCACGTTTCCTGGTAGATTTTAGGCAGTAACTCAGTGCAGCATTTGAAGAAATGTAAATATTGTTACAGAGAGAGAGAGAGAAGGAGGATCCTTCACCTCCAAGGTCGCCTCAGAGCAGCAGAACCAATCCGTCTGCATTAAACGCTGCTGCTGATTTTAAATGTCTCTGAGTGAGTTCCAGACAGATGAAAAATATTTCAGCTTTTACAGAACGGTTGCATCATTAGACGCCGTTCAGACGCTCGCTGCTCTTTGTCACCGTCATCCTGACAGAATCCTGCAAAGCGGAATAATGGGACTTCCTGACGGAAATGCAAACTGCCGTCAATTAAAAGTTGAATCCTGCAGGTTGGGGAGGGACAGCAGGCGCTGCTAGAGTCATTGTTCCATGCGTCTAATTTAGCTTGGTGTGTTTTTAGGGAAGGGATGATTAGTTTTCCACAAAACAGAGACTCAGAAACAGTCAAAGATATTTCTGTCATCCTAAATCCACTCCAGTCATAAACGTTGTTACAGCAGTTCAGTTATTAAAAATAACCTGCTGTAACATTTGCATTAACTGTGATGAGTCAATTATTAAAACAATAATCAGTTAATCTGGGAATTAAACAGGCGACAACAAATAGAAACATTTTCCATGAAGACGAAATGGGAGTTTATTTTTATGGGTTTATAATGTATTCATGATGCATAATAAATGTTCTAATTTCAAACTACATATTACTATGGTGATGGAAAGCTGCAGTACTGTTACCTGCAACACAGACGGAGATGCAAACCCCAGTAAATGGTGTCTCTGATAACTCCTGAGGAGACAGCAGTAACCGACAGACCCATCCAGACAAGCAGAGCTTTAGATCTGATAAGTTGATCTCCTACAGAAGATCCTTTCACCTCTACCTGCTTCTTCTCACAGCAATGTTCTTTATGTCCAGTAAGCGTCATGCTGCGGGCCTGATGCTTATAAGCTTGTAACAGAACCTGACTTCAGAAAATGTGAGCTACTCCTTTAATAACTGAGATCTTCAGCGTATATCTCCATTCATACATTAGGATCAGAGGGAACCAGTTTCAGTCGTAACCCACCATCAGCAGCAGAACCCACCAGTATGTCCAGGCAGGCCGCTTTCAGGAGCGTGATCTGATCGGCGATGGTCAGCCCTGTGAAGCCAGGCACTCGTTTGGCAAACTCCACTATCTTGATAATGCACTTGGTGGCCAGCTCGCTGAACTTGTCCCACAGGCCCAGGTCCAGCCTGACGCGGTGATCCGCACTCGACTTCTGCAACACAGCAACAGAGGGAGTCAGGACAAGCAGCTCCGGCTGCTGATGTTCTCAATGCTGCATGAGTCACAGAGCGGCGGCAGGAATGAGGAGCGCGGTGGCAGCGCCATGGAGCTCTGATGGGATGCAGAGACGTCCCTGTGACGGGTGAGAGGATGAGGCTGGGCCTGCTGCAGCTTCACCACCCAGGATGAAGACATGAATGAAATGATCTCTATGCTAAAGTTCAAACCGTATCTTTATAGTTTATTTCATGTTTCAAT